CTCTTTGAGGTCTGCCAAGATCAACGTTTGCCCCTCGAATATGAGACGCTTCAGGGCAGAGTGCTCGCCCACCGTAGCATGACCGAAATTGGTCTGCAGCCATGTGGCCAAGGCCTCCTCGGGCAACGGCTGACCAGGCTGGCCAACTGAATACCCAAGACGCGCCAAACACTTCAGATCCAGCTTGTCGAGGACATTGATTGACGCAGGTGTCAAGCCCACTTCCACGCACCGTTGCTTGAAGTGATGCTCGCTTTCAATCACACTCGTCATGGCACAGCACTAGGACTGGTTACCTAAGTCAAACTAATTTCTCACGGCTCGAGCGCTCAGACACACAAGCACACTCAGACCCACTCAGCAACTCGCACAACGTCTGTCGCAAAGCTGACACAAACAAGTGACATGCACCACACTGCACAAGCCCAGCCTGCTACAAACGCACACAGTCAAGCGCGCACTCACTCACGAGGGAAGCAGAAGTAAGCCTTGCTACATTACACTCATTAGACGCCTCCTGAGTCCTGTCACGTAACAGGAATACAGCGCTAATAACGCCAGCACCTTACGCATGAGCTTCTCCGCCCGTGCATCTTGGTGCACCCACCATGTGGGACTTGTCTCTTGCGCCACCGAAATCGGTCACATGTTCTTCCTACATGTGCTGCACACCTGACTGTCTACATCAGCTTCTTCAGCAAGTCTAAAGGTGCCCGACACAGATCGGCCGCAAGCAAAAACCTGGCTTTCAGCAGGTGTGTCCTGCTGGCCATTTACTAGATGCAGCATCTTTGATCTTCGATGCAGCCACCATACCTGAGCCTCAGTATTCGGCGGCCTCAGTCCTCGTGATTTTTTGGTCCGGACCGGAGCCGACTGTCCTCTCTCGCTGTCACTGCAGCTTGCATGCGATGAGGAGGAAGACATTGAGGAATCACTGTGGTCGACAAGTCCAGTTCGCATGGACCCTTCCCAGTTCCAGCTCACCGTCCTCTAGCTCACCCTGCGGCGCTGCGTCCTCTGTCGACTCATCCTTGACCTCCACGACCTGCGCATTAGGTGGCTCTGGGGGAAATCTAAAATATCTAGACCGGGCTTCGTCAGGACGGAAATTGCCCTGAGCAATTTCTGTGATGATATTCTGCAGTTCGCGCGTTGGCCCTACGCACAAATCCCTAGCATACGCTGCATCCGATGCGGCGGCACACTTGCAATGTCGGCCCAACACAGTCTGGGTTCGGTCAGACACGCCATACGTGCAAACCCAGCTCAGGCAAGTTGCTTTCAATGAATGGCTGGACACACCCCTATCTCCTGCTGCTGGCTTTGGCAGCTGCAGGAACGCGCGAAGGAAGGCACTGATCTCACTAGACTCTATTGCCCGGCAAGAGAATTCCTTGCCTTTGCAATCACGCGGCGCTTTCATGAGAGGTCCCTCAATGACACCATCAGCCGGCAAATCCAACATTCGGAACACGTCAACCAGCAAATGCAACCACGCTTTGCCATGAACCCCAATGGCCGGGACAAGAATGGGCATAAATTTGGTTTTCTTTTGCGCTGACTTGGCGCCCTTGTGCTTCCTAGTCAAAATCTCGAGGAAGCCTCCGCGCATGTCATGATCGTGCTTGATGAGTGAAATTTGTTCCAAATCCGAGAGTCTAGCCCTCCCATACAAGGCCACGAGAACGTACGCGCAGAGAGCCCTGTCCACTACGTGACGGGACCCATCTGCCAGGCCATCATGCAAGGCCAGCACTTGCAGTACTGTCAGCGGCTGCGCTTGCTGCTGCGCCTCCTTTCCCGCAAACATTTGCTGCGCTGCTCCCCTCACACGCTTGCTGTCCACCACCGGGTCAAGCTTAAACCCTAAGACAAAGTGGGCAAACCTAACGGAGCCTAGGAATGCTTCAGCCTTTGTAGGAGGAGCTCCATCAGCCTTCAGGCGCGCGACATACTGCCACGCTTCGGCTTCAGAAAGCTTTTCGCTGCAGGCGGGTAACTCTGTATCCCTCCATCGTAGCCACGCAGAGAAACTGCTAGCACGCTTTAACACAGTGAGCGGCGACTTGACACCCAGGCACGCCTCAACATCGGCCAAAACTGCCGACCTGAACGCGGCAGGGGCTGAAGCGCTGCTGGCTGCGAGACCTGGTTCACACTCATTCCTGAACCTGACACAAACATCCGTCCAAAGATTCAAGGCTTTTATCCAATCACGCTGTCGCTTTTCCTGAGGCGTCAGGTCTTGTCGCGACTTCACTACTTTGGCAAAAGCCGGACCTTGCAGTTGCTCGACTAAGGCAAAGACGCGGGCTTCGGCAGGCCCAGGCGCTCGCTCATGGGACCGGGCGGTCTGCACATCAGCCGTCCAGTACGCTGAGAGGCTGGGCTCAAGAATCTCACTGAGGTCAGTGAAAATCGCACTCATGGCCGGGGATTCCCAAGGCATCTTAATGGATGTTAGCTTACCTATCCTGCTGAAGGCGTCAACTGCTGCGTGTTGCACTGCACCTGGTTGCTGCCCTTGTGGCGGATGGCAGGCGTTTGGCGCAGGACTTGGATGTCCAAAATCAAGACCCTGCAAGAGATCTGGCAAGGGACACAGATCCACCTCTCGGTCATGGTTATCACCGATGCTCTCATCATCATTGTCACTCTCCGGATCGGTACCCCCGTCATGCGCAGCCAAATCCCCTTCTTGACCGTTGTCTTCACTCGCAAAAGCTGCCATCTGGGATTGCAGAGACTCCGCAGTGAATTTGATATCCCGCCCAGTGGGCGGAGCGCAACCATACGCCGACTACGGCCACAAGAAAATTTTTCTTAAGACAAAAAGGCTTGCATCTAGCAGTCTTGCAGTCTTACACATCTGCCTACTTCTTGCATGTAGCTTGCCTGAGCACACGCAAGCAATGTGATGCGGCATGGCACACGCAAGTTGAACAACGCTGATCAAGACAGGCAGAAACAATGCTGATCAAGACACGCAGAACTTCAACAAACTTTTCAAGAGCTTAACCCCTTAGGCCCGTCCACACGGGTGGACTTACAAAGCGTCCAAGTGAAGGAGCAATCACTTCGCTCCGCTCCTTGACAGCACTCTTCCATGTTCTTTTTGCCTTCCTTCATTGCCAAAAGGCCAGAGATGGACACATGATAGACAGTGATCTCTGTATGAAGGGTTGAGGGCAGGTTAGGATTTTGACCTAGGGTAAACAGAATCAAAGAGCACTCTAAAAGGAGCCCTAGGAGGGTAAGTGCTCTTTGATTTCTTGGGTTTATATCCCTACTATGGTCATAAAATCCTAAC